GGTTAACAGAGATAACACTGCTGACAGGTCCATCAGGTGGGCAGGTCCCCAAACGCTGGCAGTTCTTGGGTTGGAGAGAGCATGGAATTTGGCGCGCTGGTGTGTCAGACAGCTATCGCTGTGACGCCGCAGGACAGACAAGCTTAGGCTTCCCTGGCTCACAAGGATAAGTGTTTATTTCTCCCCCAGGTCAGCGGGTTGGCTGAGAACGGAATGGTTCCGGTGGACCTATGTGTCAGGTGGGACCTCATCTGCTTCACGTGGCTCATTCCTCTGGATACAGGGGCTTCCTGTTTCGTGACTCGGCTTGTGGTGGCAAAGCCCCACTGCACGATGATGTCTTAAGCCTCTGCTCGAGTCATAATCCACTGCCATCCTAGTGGCCAAAGCAAGTCACATGGCCCATCAAAGGTTAAGAAGGGGCAATGAATACTCTGCCCACCAGGGGCCTCTGGCAAGAATGTGGATGTGGATGCCACACGGGCTGGGGACTTGGGACCACTACTTCGATCTGCCTCGCCAGGCGGATCTGAAGTTCCCGCACTTCTCCCCAGGGCCAGGGTCCTCCCACCTGGAAGTGCTGCTTTAGGGCAGTTCCCTCTTCTCTTTTATATACATGATTTTTACCACATTGGATTTGTAGTCTGCTTTTTCATTTTTTCTTTTTTAGAGTAAGTTTTTAACGATTTGGAATCAATTCAGCTCACTTTGGTTCATGTCCCCAGCCCCATTGCACTATGTATTCCTACATTTAAATAGCATCAACACGATAGAGCAGCGATCATAAAGCGAAGAAATGGAACTTGACTTATTTCAGTTAAGCCATCCTATGTAGACAATTGGCTATTTTAACTTCTGCTTAAATTTTTTTTAATTTTATTTTATTTTTCAATTACAGTTGACATTCAATATTATTTTATATTAGTTTCGGGTGTGCAACATAGTGGTTAGACATTTATGTAATTTCAAAGGGATTCCCCCTCAAATCTATTTTGTAACTACCAATTGGTACTTCTTCATCGTCTACTTTTCTAAAATCCCCACTTTTTTCACTTAGCTTTACATCCTATTTTTCTTTTTTCTATTTTTTGGACTTGTAAATTATGGATGAAGAATTATAAAATCACGAAGTTTGGGCATCATTTATTGAATTCTTCCTCTGAGATACTTAGGTTGTTTCTAGTTTGGCTACTATAAACTACACTGTGGTGGACATCTTTGTACAGCCACTTCGTTGCATCTGCAACAAATAATTCTTGCTGTTTCAGCTCCAGGCCCCACCCTACTCTAATAACAGGAGCTTGACTTCCCTTTGGGGGAACTACACCTGTCCCTTTCTTTCAGTCCATGAAGTGCGTGCGGCATACCCCACTGGCTCCAGGAGAACGGCCTCTAGCCAGGAAAGATATTCTACTCACTAAAACTCAAACAAAAATCTGAGCCAGGCCTGGCCAATCAGAGTGTGGAACCCCCCTAGTTACAGAGATTGGTTAGAATAGACACGGTAGGTTAGGTCTGACCAATCAGGGATTTATTTAAAAGGAGGCACATGACCCAAGGTAGCCCGATCAGAATGAACTCTGGGACTTGCCCAGGACTTACTGGGAAAAGAGATTCTCTTTTCCTCCGACTTTGTTAGATGGAATATCGTTTACATTGAGCCTGAGAATAAAGCCAACGTGTAGAGAGCAGAGCCCAGAGACGAAGACAGATTGGATTCTGTTGACACTGGGCTCCTGAGGAAGCTGTGGCTGAAGCTGGAATCCTGGCCTTTCAATTTGAAAATCCAGTGCAGCCCTGGCTGGCGTGGCTCATGTGTGTCTCAGTGGATATAGCGCAGGCCTGGGTTGGGGGTTGAGTTGCTAGGGGAGGCAACCAACGGATATCAAGGTTTCTCTCCCTCTCTTTCTCCCTCCCTTCTCCCTCTCTAAAAATAAAGTCTTTAAAAAAAAAAAAAATCCAATTCCTTCTCTTTTTGGCTTAAGCCCAGTTGAGTTCAGCTTTCTGCCATTTGGAACCAAACAGCTCTGGTTTTAAACTTAAGTTTCTTAATCTAGAATTACTGAGCCAAAGGACATCAAGATTTTTTAAGCCTCTAGAGACCTTTTATCAAATTTCTTTCCAGAGAGTTGATTATGCAAAGAACACCACAGTGTAGGAAAGCCTAAATTACAAGCAGTAGTATTTTAGCTTAAACATCTGAGATGGGCAGAAATTATATGGTTTAGTTTTATTTTTAGTGAGCTGAAATATTTCTCATGTTTATAGACTATTTTTACTTATTTTATGATTTGCTTAATATGAACAACTCATGTCAAAAAGTGTTCCTTTTCTAATTTCTCAATATGTCCCCCCAGTTTATGGCCCTAAAATATTTTCACGTGTTCTGAGGTAGATGTATTTTTTGTGTGTGTGGTCATATTATTTTCAGGCGTCACTTCTGTTGCTTTCATGATTCCGAAGTCCCTCCCGACTGAAGACCAGGTAAATATGGACCAGGCTTTCTTTTTGACATTTAGACACCTGTTATATTTCTCACCCGGCGCTTGGAGACCCATCTGCATCAGAACCACCTGGGAGCTTGTTCGATAGTCGACTGATAGCCAGGCAGGCCATTGATGCACCAAGGATCTGTTCTGATTATCCTGGTTCCCAAGGGGTGACAAAACCTCTGAACTTGGCCTACAAATGCACAACAGGTGCACAGCAGGCAGATGGCAGGAGACAGGACGAGAGCCTGCTCCCCATAGAGCGCTGGCAGGCAAAGCTGCAAAGCCCACGAGCCGTGCCCTGGGCCCATGGGGGGTATTACATGCAATACACTGCAGGAGGTTAGACAGGCTATATGGAGTGGGGGTGGCCCTCCCAGAACGCCAGGTCCAGCCCCATCTTGCAGGTGGGGACCTGAAGTCCAGGTAGGGGTGGGGAATATGCTCCAGGAAGGTCAGACACCCGGCTTAGGCATTTAGGATTTGCCATGACTCTAAAGCAGTGGTTCTCAAAGTGTTGTCCTGGGACGGGCAGCATCGGCATCACCTGGGGTCTTGTTGGGTCAGAAGCCCTTGGGGTGGGCCCCACGCTGTGCTGGGACAAACCTTCCTGAAGTTCACACCGAAGAATCATCGGCCTAACGTGCACCCACATTACAGGGAGGTGAATGGGATACTTAGATCTCTCTGGAAAGCTGATGTAGACTGAATATTCATGCCCCCCGACCCCCCAATCCTAACCTCTGATGTGACCATGGAGACTTTGGGAGGCGAAGAGATCCTGAGGGTCCTGCTCTCATGAAAGGGATTGGTGCCCTGACAAAAGAGACCCCAGAAAGCTCCCTCGTCCCTTCCACCACGCGAGGACACAGCAAAAGGACGGGCATCTGCGAACTGGGAAGAAAGCTCTCACCAGACATTGACCTTGATCTTGGACTCCCAGCCTGCAGAACTGTGAGAAATAAGTGTCTGTTGGTGAAGCCGCCCAGTCTACAGTCTTTTGTTACAGCAGTTCTCATGGACTCCCTCACGTGCGACTGAAGTCCAAACCTCGTAGCCTGGCCTTCGGGACCCCACGACGGTTTCCCAGCCCAACTCCTCAGGCTTCCCCTCCGGTTCCCCATCCCGCAGCCAAACTGGACATCCTCACCTCCATGTCTCCTCCCCTTTCTTCAGCCCTCCCCAGTCTCCTCCTTCCGAAGTCTGACTCAAGCCCCACCCGAGAAGCCTTCTTTGCCACAAAGGCCTGTGAGATCAGAAACTCAAAACAATGATCCCTCCTCAGATCCCCTTTGTTTCAACTGCTCTTAAGACTTGATCACACCCTGGCTGGTGTGGCTCCGTGGATTGAACGCTGGCCTGACAATCCAAAGCTTTCAGTTGGATTCCCAGGCAGGCACACGCCTGGGTTGCGGATGTGCACCCTGTCTTCCTCCCTCCCTTCCCCTCTCTTTCAAAAAATAAAAATAATCTTAAAAAAAAAAAAGAAAGAAAAGAAAAAGACATGACCACACTCAGCCATCTTTATTATATTTAGCTCCCTAATCAGCTCGGTGCCAAGACCTACTCGCCCTCCGAGCCCCACCGTCCCCTTCCCCACAGCCCCTGGATACGGCAGACCCTCGCTGTTAGGTGGCTGAATAGCAGCATCCATCTCTTTGAAAGTAATCTGCTCACTCCACACAGTCTGCAGCTCGATGGTTGCCCTTACCTTTGAACTATTACCTAGATCAAGGAACATGGGCAGATCTCCAGAGACAAGTTCTTTTCACAGCTGCGGTGGTTGCTAGGATGATTCTACCCCAGGGACACAATAAAACCAAACCAGTGCCTTCCACGCAGACCAAACTTTTCCAGCCTTGACCTGGAATGCCAGTCTGGAGAAGGGACTCCCTTAGATGTCCTCTCACCCAATTTCACAGGCAGGAAAACCAGCTCGTAGAAGGGCTTCGCCTTGTCAAGGCCTCCCTAAAAGTAGCGTTCAGTTCAGGCGCGCTGGGACCCTCAGAGGTGGGCAGAAGGCACCTACTTGGTAGTCACCTTCTGGGACCAGGGATGAAATGCACCCCCCAAATTCCGTGCCCCACCCCGGTCCGCTGTGTGCAAGGCGAGCTCCCGTACCTCCCACAGCTCCAGGTGGCTATTTACGAGAGCTCCTGGGACTCAGACACTCCCTGTAGCCAGACAGCCTTCCAAAGCTCCTCGGTCTCAGAGGGACCCCCCGATGACAGAAAGGGAGGCCTGGCTCCTGGTAGCAGGCCTGGCAGCTGCCTCCCACACAGGAACCCTCCTTCGATCCCGTGGCTCCAGGGTGACCTCACCTTAATCCCTGCCAATCCCCCAGTATGGGGAGCTGCGCCTCGCCCTCTCCCTGCCCCCAGGCTGGCTCCCGCCCACTCGGGGGAGCTGGCACTGAGAAAAGAAGGCCCAACGGGTTGGAGATGCTCGGGTTGGTCGTGATGTGGGCGGGGTCTGAGTGCCACCCACTGGGTCAGCTCAGGTGCAGCCTCCTCAAGTCCAGGTGCCGGGAAAGGGCGTCCTTGGGGTTAAACCTTGGCTCCTTGGACGTTTCTCAAAGGGTCTGGGGTGCTGTCTGCACTGCTGGCCCTCGTGGCTGTCCCCTGACTGGCATGTCCTGGGGTCCATGAGCAGTGAGATAAATTTCACAGTCTCCATTTTGTCCAACATAAATTCCTGGGGGAAAAATATAAATCTCTCATCTGGCCATTCCTTAGATCCTTCATGCCACTTCCCAGGGAGCAAGGCACCATCAAAATCTGCCTACATCTCCTTCAGCTTTCACAAGGGCCCTGAAGTGGACGTGCGATCGGTGACGATGGGCCCATGAGTCAGCCTAGGTCAGAGAGGTTAAGTGGCTTGCCCGAAGCTGCACAGCCCCGTGGCGGCAGAGCAAGAGGACTCAGAGTCTAGATTCTCACGTGGCTTCTTGGGCGTGATTGCCTCTGACCACGGCTTCCTCCGTGAAGCACACCCTGGCCGCCCTCGCCGCCCTCTCTGAGCAGCGTTCGTTTCTTGAAGACAGATGGCCCTTTTTCACCCCCTGCCTCCAGCCATTTATCTAGCACGGTGCTGAGCACAGGCAGGTGACTCTCAACCTAGGCTGAGCGATTATTACAGGAGGCCGTTGGGACCCCCTGACATCGCTGTGGAATTTCTTCCTTTTTCTCGGGAAGACGGTGAAATGAGTACACTGTGACTGTTTAGACAAATGCGCCCTCATTCAAAATTGCATCATTCCTATCGCAACCTGGAGGAGTTAAGCCCCAGCGGATGCCACAGTGCACTGCCACAGAGTGGCCCCGATGCTGCCTGTGATGTTCTTATGAGAAGCCCTTCCCGACCAGGCCGCGGGCTTGCTCCCTGTTGACGGCTGCTACTGGACAGCGCTGGGTGCAGAGGAGCTAGGGACGCTGTCTGAATGTCCCCGCTGAGCCTGCCTCAAGTGAGGAAAGCGAGTCATGCCCTGGGAGGAAGCCAGGGCTGAAGAGGCAGGCGGGGAGGGCAGCGAGGCCAGGTCCTCGAGGTGCTGCTGGCCCTCGGGCCACACCACGCCTGAGACCCAGCCACCAAACGCCCACACGCCATGCGAGGCGTATATGCCTGTTAGGAGAGTCTAACAACCTCAGAAAAGAAGGACAAAGTTGTAGGACTCACTCCTTCTGATTTCAGAACTTACCACAAAGCTACAGTAGTCAAGACAGTGTGGTACCGGCGTGAGGACAGACAACTGGATCAATGGAATAGAATGGAGAGACCAGGAATAAAACTTCACACTTGTGGCCAATTAATTTTTGGCAGAGGTGAGGAGACAATTCAATGGAGAAAAAATAGTTTTTTTCAACACATGGCATAAGGACTACAAATTCTTATGCAAAAGAATGAAACTGAATTCCTTTCTTATAAGATATATAAAAATTAATTAAAAACAGACCATAAACCTAAGTATTAGAGCAAAAACTATAAACGTCTTACCCAAAAACTTAGGTGTAAGTCTTCATGACCTTGGATTAGGCAGACAATAGGCTTTTAGACATGATACCTAAAGCACAAGCAACCAAATAAAAAACAGCTACACTGAATTTCATAAAAACTATCAATTTTCTGCTTCAAAGGACACCATCAATATGAGAAGACAGTCCACGGAATGAGAGAAAATCTTTTCAAATTATCTAGTGTAGGAGGGACTTGTGTCCAGAATAGATAAAGGATTCTTACAACTCTACAATAAAGACAAATGATCCAATTTAAAAATGAGCAAAGGATCTGAATAGATATTTCTTCAAAGAAGCTATACAAATAATCAATGAACACTTTATGAAAAAGTACTCGATGTTTAGTCCTCAGGAAAATGCAAGTCAAAATCACCATGAGGTACGATTTCAAATCCATCAGGATGGCTTAATTATAAAACACAGACAATACTAAGTGCTGACAAGGAAATAGGGAAATTGGAAGACTCATACATTGACCATAAGCTTGTAAAATTATGTAGCCACTTTGGAAAACAGTATGACAGTTCCTCAAAATGTTAAACATAGAATTACCACATGACTCAAATTCCACTCCTAAGTATATACCCAAAATAATTGAAATGATATGTCCATATAAAAACGTGTCCATGAATGTTTAAAACAGCATTATTCATAATAGTTAAAATATGGAAACAACTCAATTGTCCATCAGCTGATGAACAGATAAACAAATGTGGTCTATGCAAGACAATGGGCTATTATTCAGTCATTTACAGGAGTGAAGTATCCATTCATGCTACCATACGGATGGAACTTGAAGACAAATTTGGGAAGTGAAAGAAGCCAGGTGCAAAATGTATTTTGGGGGGTGATGAAAATGTTCAGCAGTTGGATACTAATGATGGTTGTGCAATTCTGTACTGAACACACTGAAGTGTGAAGAGTTATGGTATATGAATTATATCACAATAGAACTATTATTAAAAATGTAAAAAGACATGCTCTGCTGCCAGCAGGTGCCGATCTGATCACATGCTCTCTGTTACCGCGGCATCTGCATTGTGAATGACAGGGTTTGGTCCCCAGGAGGCGCAGCGAGAAGGGAAAGCTCCGTGGACTTAAGTTTAAATGGAGGACCCTGCGCAGAAGCTCCCTTGGTCACTGAAATGCTCCCTGCCCCCAGCATATGCGCGTGGAAATGAGTGATGTCTTCCGTAGGCATTTTAGTGTGTGTGTTTGCAGGCGTGTCAGTGTATGGTGTGTGTATTGTTAGGTGTGCAGAGAGCACATGTGAATGTCTTTATGAGTGTGTACACTGTGTGTGTATGAGTGTGATGTGCCAGGGAGGGGTTACGCATAAAGACCAGGCAGGACAGGAATTCCTTGACACCCATCTCCAACCTTGCACCTAATAGGTGCTCATTACAAGCTGTTGAGAGACTAATAGAGCCCTCGAGACCCATCGCACCGGTGCCTGTGCAGTCGTGGAGAGAGGGGCTTGTGGGGAGCTAAACACGAAAGCACTGTGGGCCGAGGCCCGGGACAGGCTGAGGTTGGGGCCAGCCTGGGAGGCAGAGGGTCGTCACCTGAATCAGGTCCAGCTTGGAGAAGAGGCCCATGCTCTTGGGCACAACACGGGTGGAGGAGCAGCACTGCTGGGCCATGCTGTTGATGGCCTTTTGCACGTAGTTGAGCAGCTGGTTCTGCAGGAGAAAGAAGAAGGGGAGGAGCGGGGAGGAGACAGAGCAGGTGGAAGAGGAGGAGGAGGAAGAGGGTGGGGAGGTGGTGGCTCAGGCTCTCTCCCAGCATCCCCTGGTTCCCTGGCCCCAGCTCACTCAGGTCAGGCATCCTGGAGCCAGGAGCCACCTTCTCGTCCTGGGCTGTGCTCCACTCCCGAAGGGGCTCTGGTCAGCCCCTCCCCCTCAGGGCCTGCGGTCCTACCTGGGGCAGGGGCTGGGAAGGGGCGGGGAGGAGCTCAGTGCTCCTCACTTCAGACAGCGCCAGAGGACCGGACTTCAGGCCTCCGGGGTGGGGCTGGGCCGCTGCAGCCTTGCTTCCCACCTTAAAAAGACCCAGAAGGGGCTCTAGACACAGTTGCCCATCTACTCCCTGTCTAAGGTCCTTGACTGGAGGTCAGCAGCCTACAGACTCCAACTTTCATGTCTTCCAAATTAGGATCCCACAGGGCCGGGGAAGGTCTTAGCGCACCCTGCCCAGGCGGGCTGTGCCCAGAGCAGCCCTGTGCCCCAGAGCCCCCTCTGTGTCCTGCCAGCAGCGCCTGAGGCTGCAGGGCCCAGTTTCTTGTTATGGTGAGGGCTGGGGCCTCGGGGGGCGGTGGTCAGAGGGTGACTAGTTCACATCTCCAAAGCCAGGAAGAAGCAGCTCGAGAGCTTGAGCTCAGAAATCCTGGCCCTTGGTCATGAACGTCAACCACAGCTCACACTTCTGAGCATCAATTTCCTCATCTGTGAAACAGGTGTGGGTAAGAATCGAGACCTAGTTAGGAGAGCCTATTCTGGGTTAGGCCGAAATGCTCCCTGGTAATGAATTACCGAAGATAGTGTACAACAGCCACTCACTTAAATGTTATTGTTTTATTATTAATCACAAGCATGATAGAAGGACTGAGTTAGCACCCAGCACACGCCAGGCCCTGGGACAGGCCAAGGGACCCAGCTCCGGTTCTTGGTAGAGCTGGGTCCTTAGCTCTCTGTGGCCTCTGTTTTCCTATCTGTAAAGTGACACTCGCCCGTCTTAGAGAAGCCTTTTGGAAGCTAACAGTCAGCATGGCGAGCAAGTGGGTAAGTGGCGGGGGGAGGGGTTGGGGGGTGAGGAGACAGCAGCCCCTGGCTCCTGGCCCCGCCCCTGGGCCAGCACACTGGACTCACGTGACAGCTGCCTGTGTCTTCCTGGTAGGTGACATCTTGTTCTGACTGCCCCTGCTGCCTCTGCCCGTGGTGGCACCTCTTCTGCAGCTGACACAGCTGGATCTTGAGTCTCTATGGTGAGAAAGGCCGGGTCACTTGGGTGCAGCAAGCCTGCCTAGGTCCCCAGAAGCTCGCAGCCCAGGGTGGTCCACGTGATGTTGGGGGCGGGAGATGGGGAAATTCTGGGAGGTCAAGGCCATTCCAAGCACAGGCGAGGCAGCAGAGGACACATCCAGGCCGGCTGGGGTTAGAACCCCGCCTCAGCTCGCAAAGCGCCTTTTTCCTCATCACAACCAGAGCCACCATCTGTGCCCTCCTGGCCTCAAGGCCAGGACACCGGGGACAAGGTTGTGAAGGGCCTTCTGTGTGCATGGCCACAAGGCTGTGCTGAGCACAGTCCCACCCCCAGGCCCCATGGGGTGTCTTCAGAAGACAGGACATACACAAGTGTCTTCACTTCTCTGAGCCTTAGTTTCCTCACCTTGGAAATGGCAAGAACAGTTTGGCTGGGACTAAGGGGCAAAATTTAAGGGGGCTTCAAAAAAAATCTCAGCAATTAAGATAAATAATACTTTAATGCAATTTTTAAAAAAATCAAAGTTAATGCAGAAACAGTCCATGATGAACAAAATAGTAACATTTTAAATAAAGATGGAACCTAACTGCACTAACGCACTCCCCTCGGCTCAGCCCTTGGAATAGAAGCACCTACCAGAAGGTGCTGGGGTGAGATTGAAATGAGGTAAAGCATGTAAAATGCTTATCCGGGTGCCCTCCACCCCTGAACAGTCCTGGTTTTCTGGGGGGTAAAAAAAAGGTACAAAATGGTGTAGGTCTCAGTGCTGCCACAAGGGGGCAGACACTTGCTGCCAATGGCGTGCCATGGTCCTTTGCAAGAATCAACCAACCTGTCATTCTTCCTCTCCCTCTGGTGTCCCCTTCACCTCTGTCCCCAGGCCCCACCTGCAGCATGCACATGTTTCATGCCATGCCTTTGATGGGGCATCCTCTGCTGCCTGGAACGCCCATTCTTCCTGGGGAAAGTTCTACTTATTACAAGATTGACCAGAAAGGAAAGAGAGAGAGAGAACTTCTTGGGGGCACGAACTTTGCAACAGTTTGAGTTCGCTGCCTCTCAGCAACCTTGCAGCTAGGTTTCATTGCCCCCATTTGACAGATGAAGAAACTGAGGCCCAGAGGGGGTCCAGACTGGCCCAGGGTCATGCCTTTAGTCCGAGGCTGAGCTGGAATTTGAACTCCAGTCTGCCTGAATGCAGAACTCATGGCTTTTCTACCATGAAGAACACCTTTTCAACGCAAGATGAGCCTCAGGGGAAACCCCAAGTCAGCCAGTGGAAGGGGAGAGAAAAGCCTAGGGAGCTAGACTCTGTAGCGGCAGCCCCACCAGAGCCCTCAACGGCCTGCCCACCACTGCTCCAGGCCTCCCCAGAGGTGCTGAGGGAAGGAGGTCCCTCTCATCCCAGCTCTCTGAGCCGAGGGGGATGGGCTGTTACCAGGATAAGAGCTCTGTGGCTCTCCGTTAGGGACTCCAGGCTCCGGTGGGCGGCCTGGTTCATCTTGGAGAAGGCCTGGAGATGCTTCTGGATGTCCTGGCTGACAGCGAAGAGCTTCCCATAGTGCTCCACCAGGGCCTCCACCAGACCCTCCTTCTGGGCCTCCTCCGGCTCCTCCCTGTCACTGTAGCCTAAGGAGACAGTGCCCTGTGGGATGGGTGGGCAGCAGAGCTGCCGCCCCCCGCCCCCTGCTGTGGCTGACACTAATAAGGTAGATGGGACCTTTGCTGTTGCCCAGAATTCCAGCCGGAGCCCAGAGTTGGGAGATGCCAGACAGTCCATGCAGGGCTTACTCTAACACAACGGGGCTGGTCCAGCAGCTACCTCCCACCTCTACACAAGAAGCATCCGCATTTGGAAGGCTACCTAGTGGAATCTCAGATTCTGCATCCAGGCTGCCCAGCAAGACAGGAGACTGCCCCTGAGGAGAAACTGCTGATTGGGGGAGACTGAAAAATAGGGACAGGAATTGTTTTCATCCTGTGTGACAGAGTCCCCAGCTCTGACAGTCCGCATTCTGGATGGGTTGAACAGGGCCAAGGTGCTGGATTTGGAAGCTTCAAGCCCCATGCTTGGCCTGGAGCTCCGCACCCCTCCTTGGCCTGGTGCACAAGGCTTTTTCGTGCTGCTCAACCCTCCCGGCACATCTCCCAGCAGCCCCTGCCAGTTTCTGGCTCCGGCATGCTGGAATTCACCATCTCCCAACCCACCCTGCAGGGCGTGACTCCATTTGTGTGCTTCCCTCTGCCTGTGATGCCACTCCCCTTTGCGAAACTCATTTGTGTCCCAAGAGGAGCCATCTCCTCTGTGAAGCCTTCCCTGACCTCCAGGGCTGGGTTCTTGGGGCTCCCACAGCCCCACTGCACTTAGTGCAGTGGCTGTGAAGTCAGACCAGAGACCCAGCCCCACCACTTCCTGGCTGGGTGACCTGGGAAAATTTCTTAACCTCTCTGAGCCCAGATATACAGGTCTCAGAAGCTCATATGGCAGAGTAAAAAAGATTTACTAAAGAGCTTAGCATAGAGTGAATATTTAATAAATGGTAATAGTTATTTTTCTTATTATTGGTGATGTTGAGATGATAATATGATGACAACAGAAATATGTGTTTGTCTCTGCTTCCCTTTCCCAACAAGTTTCTAGCACTTGTAACAGTACACTCTGGTATACATCATGATAAAACAAAGCAAAATAGAAAAATCCATTCAGGTGTCTATGCAATTTTAGTTGACAATAGCAAAACACAAACCAAAACCACAGACAAAAGAAACACTCATAAAAACAGTTCACAGGCACTGGGTGCCACCTAAATGTCGGGCCCCGTGCCCCCTGCTTAGGAAGGATGAGCTCACCTAGCCCACCTCACTGCGGCTGCTCCCACTGTACAGCTACAGAAACCATGGACTTGAGAGCCTGCTGCAGGCCACGTGGTTGGCACTGGCAGGCCTGGGGTTCCCAGGCAGGCTGGCTCCTCACCTGTGCCCTTCTAAACACAGTGGCATCAGCCTTTGTGGATCCCCATTCCAAGAGGAGCTCGAGGCTCAGGAAGACCCCACCCTGTGCTCCAGCCCTGAGTCCAGGAAGTGGCCACAGACAGGACAGGCTTCCTGAAGAAGCTACAGACATACCCTTGGGGATTTTCACAAGGACCTTAATCAGGTAGTCTTCAAAAAGCTTGTGCTTCTCGACCTCTCTCTTCAGTTTTCTATGCCTGTGGAGACATTGTGGTGAGGTGTGAGCCAGACACGGGAATGTGGTTGGGAGGATTGCAGATCGGGACCCCTGGCAAAGCCACCTTCTGTGGTCTCCTGCTGAGAACTGTGCTGGCGGGCAACTGGCCCCACCCCCCAACCCCCACACCATCAGTGGGCCACTGACTTCAGTCTCTCCATCCACATTTTACTGCTGAGCAGACTGAGCCCCAAAGAGGTCGGAGAGATGCCTGTGGTCCAGCTGGGAGGCAGGGGCCCAGGAAAGGGTGAAGTCAGGTCATTCTGGTGCAGGGGTCTATGGTGCCTCTCCTGGAGGTGAAGCAGGCGGTGGGTGGTCTGAGTCCCTACTGACAGGTGACCTGGCAGGTGTTGTGCCTCTCTGTACCCATCTATAATGGGGTTAATGGGAAACGCTCCCTTCAAGGCTGGCGAGGCCTCTGCCTGGGGAACCTAGCACATCGCAGGTCCTCAGTCTGTGGCCGGGGGTCCCGGCAGCCCCTGGAGGGGAGATGGCCCCATGCTGACTCTCAGGGGATCCTCAAGCAAGATGAGCCTCCAATAGGAGCCACCTTGGGCCTAGTCAAGAGCAGCAGACAAACAGTCATAGTCTTCTTCTACTAATGTGGGGCCCTGTGAACCACAGTGCAAACATTTTTGGGGGCTCTTACAGAATCTGATGGAAGGGTTGGACCATTTTTCCTTAAAAATTGCTCAGCAACATCCGTCTGCATCTAATTCAGGCATTTGCGGGCAGTCTGAAATTGGAGGGCCGCCTGCGGCGGGGTGGGGAGGGCCCAGGGTCTCCACGCAGGTCCTGGTGGCAACCTTACAGGTTGATTTTCGAGGGGCCAGGCTGACAGGGGCTCAGGGACGGCCACCCGCAGCCCTGCTTTTGTGATGGGAGACCCTGCCTGAGGAGGGCTGGGACTGGGCCAGGGCCTGAGGTCAAAGGACAAGAGACAAGCCCCCACCCCCTCACCATGGCTGCCCCTCCCCCATTTACTTCCAGGCTTGCGTGCCTGGCCCTTTAGCTCAGTCCCAGCCACTCAGCCCACTGTCGGTGGAGCTGGGCATGCGCAGGGGGCACAGCAGGGCCTGGAAAAACTCGTACCTGGCCTGAAGCCGGCAGAGTTCCTTCATCAGCACCTGCAGGTATGTGTTCTTGTCACCAGAGTCGCTCCGGCCAGCCCCCTGGCCTGCGTCCACAGCCACTGGCACTGCCCTCCCCGTCCCAGGCTGCTCTTGGAGGATGAGGGCCATGTGAGCCCGGCAGGAAGGAGGCGAATGGCCACAGAAATGCGCAGGGCAACAGCTTTGTCCTTCTGATGCTCCGGACAGTCATTGGAACCCAGCTGACACTCTTGCTTCATAGAAAAGGACACAGAGGCTCAGAGGGGGTCTAGTGACCAGCTCAAGGATGTACAGCAGGACTGTGTTTGGACTCGGGGTTCATTCAATCCAAAGTCTGAGGTCTATGAGCTGCACCCCAACTAGGGAGGGGCCAAACGCGCCAGTCACTAGCAGCATTATGACTCTGCTGTCCATACGTGGGACGGCCTTATCACCACCAGGTCCCAAGGGCTCCAAGATGCCTGGGACTTCCAACAGGAGCTGGTTTCCAGTGGTATCCAGGATAGGGTCCCATTGGGGGGGGGGGTCAAAGAGCTGCCCCCATAGGGAGAGTCACCTTTGTTAATTCTCTCTACCCACCCGCCCTCCACGGTTTATGCATTTAACCCACATCACAAACTCAGAGCCCATACGGAGCTTGCCGGGTTAGACTGCAGACAGAGATGGACGTTTTGCATAAGCTTGTGGTCAAGCTGTGAAGAGGGTCAAGTTAACAGGTAGTTTTGACCCAGCCTTGTAACCGGTTCCTGGGCCACTCCCCTGAGTCTGGCTCCCAGTTTTGACCAAAAAGAGAAGAAAGTCTCCCTAAGGGTGCCACCCACTGGCCATCTCCTGGACCAGCCCCAGCACAGGGGAGGAGCAGGGAGAGGAGGGGAGGGGCCCCACGCTCAGCCCTTCCAGCCCCGAGCAGCAGCTCAGACACAGGTACTTACAGGCGCGCAGGGAGGGGGGAGGGGCCTGGCTGACTCACTCACAACTCCAGGAGCTCAGAGGCACCGCTGGGCCTCGACATCACAATGCTGGCTTCTGTCTTCCTGACGTGCCTGCTCCAGGACCCACCTGGTCAGGGCGGGGGTGGGGTGGGGTGGACAGGGTCTCCGTGGCTCTGCGCTCCTCCCCACTCCTGCCTACCCGTTCAGCCCCCAGGGAGAAGGGGAGGAGAAGCATTGGTGACTTCAGGGGAAACCTGGGCTTTTTTTGTCCAGCTCGGTCACCGGTGGGCAAGGTGGGGTCGTTCTTGATGCCCCCACTTTGTGTGCTGCCCAATTCCCCTGGCCTGTGCTGGGACTCCCCTTTTACCTCCCGCTGCCTGATTTGGGGTGGTTGCAGCTGGAGCATTTCCCCAGCTGGAACACTCAGCAACCCATGAATGCTCAGCCCCGCCCATGGCTAAGACCATGCCTGGCCCAGGGCTGGGGGTGGGGGCGGGGAGCGGGCAAGCAAAGGAGCCTTCAGGACCTAGCCTGGGCCCCAGAAGGAGAAGATGAAGGGCGGAGCGGGCGTGGTTTGGGACGCTCTGGGGAAGCTGCCAGCAGCAGCCAGGGCGCGCAGGCCACCTGAGGCCAGGCTCTCGGGTGGCCTGCAACAGAAACCAGCCAGGCTGCTCTGGGCCAAGAGGGCACCATGGAAGGCTCCAAGGGAGGGCATAGAATCAGAAGAAAAGCCGAAGACCCAGGCTTACAGAGGACAGGGCTCAGGGCGCCCCTGGAGATCCATGCAGCAGGAATTCAAGGGCTACCCCACAAATGAACTCTGCCCAACAGCCTCCCATCGGCTTTTCTGCCCTCAAGAATCGACATCCTTGGAGAGGTCGCCCAGTTGGCTGAGCCTGGGTCATGGGCCTGCCCCTTAGTTTGAGTGACAGTCTCATCAGAGGAGGCTGTCACATCACATTGGGGCTGTAGGTTCCCCAGAAAAATCGCTCTCTCACCCCATGCCATTGGCTGGAGAAGGAGAAAGGGGTGCTGAGCTCACCACAGGGGGGCTCAAGTAAGCCTGGCCAAGGAGCACGGTCTTTATCCCGAAGGCGAAGGTGGCAGCAGCTGGAGGGTCTCCACGGGAGGCACGTTTAGAAGCGCCCACTTGGCTCCACGTGGACGAGAGGCAGGGGGTGCAGGCTGACATTTGTCAGCACGGTTCTAAGCACTTCCCCTGCACAGGGTCACCTAATATGACACGCCCACGAGGTGACACTGCTAATTCCCAGATGGGGAAACTGAGACCCCCAGAGGTTTAATAACTTGCCCAAGGCCTCACTGTTGGGGAATTGCTGAGCTGAGATGTTAATCCAAGAAGTCAGGACTCCAGAAATGCCTGGCAGGCTGAGTTGCGGGGACTTGGAAACTGACCCAGTGGAGGTCCTACAGGGCGTGACTTAGAGCTGGGGGTGGGAGGGCAGCTCCTGGGGAGATGCCCAGCAGCTCAGGGCCCTAAGCCACCGGGCCCAGCACAGCCACAGGCAGGGATTTGAAGCCACTGCTCTTGCCCAACGTCCTGTGCTTGGATTGGAACCCAGGTCTGCAGACTCCAGAACCTGCACTTTAGCTCCACCCTGCTCCGTCCCGCCCCTACTGCCCACCTCAGAACCCTGGGCACTGCTCTGGTTCCTCCTCCTCCTCCTCCTCCCTCCCTTCCCCCCTTTCCCCTGCCAATTGCAGACCCCGCCCTTCTGTTTAGGGGAGGAATCAGGGGTTTACATTGGGGCTGAAAGGAACTTTAGAAGAGAGAAGACCAAGGCAGAGAGAGGCGGGACTGGCTGGCCAAGGCTGCAAAGCTGGTGAGAGGCCCAGGCATCAGACCTCCCAGCCCGCCTCCATCCCCGGGGCTTCGGCGGGGTGGGGGGGGGGTGGAGGGGAGACCCCAGACAAGGCTGTCTGCTCCAGACAGCAGGGGACCTTGGGAGCTGGCAGCCCTCTTCAAGGGCAGAGTCACAATTAAATGGCAGTAGAATCCCCCTCCCTTTAAAAAACAACAGTCTTAACAAGGACTCCTGGGGCTGGAATTTGACCCTAGAGCTTGAGTCTCACGGCACTTGCGGAAGAACGGGCCAGATCAGGTCTCTGGCCCAGAATCCCAACCCCGACTGCCCTGCAGCCCCATGCGCCCCTGCGGAGGTCCCAGCCAGCCTTCCCCAGCAGTCGGCGGGGCCGAGGATGCAGAGCCGGCCTGCGGGGCCGGCAGGACTGCCAGCTGCGTGACCTTGGGGAAGGTGCATAACCTCTCTGAGCCTCAGCTTCCTGAAGTACAACATGGAGGTAACAGCACCCAGGAGTAAATGAGATAATACACATGTAACATGTAGCATCAACTCATTTTAAAAATTAATGTGTGTGTGTGTGTGCAAGAAGAAAGTCTAGAAGGGTATGAATATACTTTGCAGACCTTATATTAGGGCAGGGGATGAGGGGACACGGCTATGATCTTAGGACCCTTTCCTGAGAGAGAGTTTGACGGAAGGAGGGGCTGAAACCCAGGAGCCCTGTGCTGGGTTGGCTGCCAAAGGTGGTTTCAGAGAAGGGCGGGCCTCTCTGTTCTGCTGGAAATGCGCTAAGACCTGACAGTGCTTAGATCCCCTCGACCCTCCCCTGAGATAGACTCTCAGAGATCAGTCCATTCCCCTTCCTCCCGCCCTGGGTACAAGCAGGAGGCAAGTCCCAGGGCCCAGGAAGCTGGGCTGTGGCTGTTCCTCCTGGGATACCCCCAGCCTGGCTCCTGCACCCTCGTCCTCACTCTGCACCAGGGAAGGTCTCAGCAAGGCTCACACATTCCACTTCCAAAATTGCTCATGTCCATCCACTGGCCCACCCTGGTCCAAACCCCCATCTCTTCAGTGTGGACCAGTGCAACGCCTTCCCAGCTGGTCACCCAGCTTCTCTGTCCCCTGCAGGCCACTCCCCACCCAGCAGCCAGAGAGAGCTCTCCTTAAAGTGCAAATCCAGTCTCCCATTTCCCTGCCTAAAACCAGTGCTGTGCAGGTAAATAATTCACCACCTTGCCGCCCAGAGGACGGCGCTTGATGTGTGATGCTTGCCACTTTCCACAGTGTAAATTCTCCCACCAGGACTGACTTCAAGCTGCTAATAAGTAACAACCTGCTTGCTAAAGTCCTGAGGATTTAAGAGGGGTTTTTTTTGCAGGAGTGAGTATGAGTTGTCCATACTGCATCCCCGGTTTAAAATCCTTCAGCCATTACAAACAGAGGCCAAGACCTGGCTGACCGGGCCCTGAGTGATCTGGCCCCCACTTGGCCATTCCTCCCACGCTAGTCTTCCCCCGCGCCGCCCCGCCCCGCCCCAGGGCCTTTGCACTTGCGGTTCCCTCTGCCCAGAGCACTGCTTGCCCAGCTCTTCCTACTGCTCTCTCAGTTGCCTGCCCTGCAGGCCTCAGACGCTGTGAACTCAGAGCGGCCTCCCTGACCATCCTGGGTCTCCCTGACCCCAGCTTCCTCTTGGTTCCACCTTGTCCTCATTGAGTTCTGTTTTAGCACTCACCACGCTGGGTAGATTCTCACGCCTCCGGGACTGCGCTCTCCCTGAGGGCGAGGGCTGGGACTCCACGGTCCCCTGTGTGCACAGCAGGCACTCAGCTCTGGCTGTGAGTCCTGGCTCCCTTGCTCACCATCTGCATAACCATCTGTGAGTTCCTCTCTTTGAGCCACAGTTTCTGCATCTGTAAGCTGAGGACAATAGAGCCCATGCGATGGGGGGGGGGGGGGGGGGGAGTTGACAGGACCTGAGGATAACACAGGTAAAGTGTTCATTACCGCGTCTGTTATTACTTGGGCCTCAGAAAATGAGAGCCGCCTCTTCACTTGCATATGGTCAGCAACAGGCAGCTTCCCCCGTGAGGGTAGCCGTGTGCCCCACTGGGCCACCCCAATGCCTAGAATAGGACCCCTGCCCTTCCTCACGTTGAGTCCAAATATGTCTCCTTGCAGTGTCCCTCCTTTAGTCCTAGTTCAACTGCTTCCCCATTCAGAGCCTCTTGCTGTTATAACTACTTATTAACGTTAGATTGGTGGAGCAATATTGCGGCGCGACAGGAAAACTGAAGGCAGATGCGCCCCCGCTTGGCGACTCCTCTCCAGTCAGGAGCTGCCTGGCCTCAGGGAGTCCCTGGGCCTCACTGAG